CTATGAGGAAAGTTCAGTGTCTGCATGCAGTGGGAGGAGATACGGAATGTTTGGATGCATTTTAGGCAGCCATGACCCAGGAAGGATCTCTAACAGCCATCTGGGGAGTGGCCAGTGGAGTTATCACTAGGCTGTAATGTAAACACTGCATTTTCTCTGAAAAGACAGTGTTTACAGCAAAAAGCCTGAAGGTAATTATTCTACTCACCAGAACAAATTCAATAAGCTGTAGTTGTTCTGGTGACTATAGTGTCTCTTTAAGCACCCTAGGTCAGCTGAATGGGTCCCTATGGCTCATGTAGCCAAATAGCTTGAATTCTGGTTGAGGAAACCCCTTGACCCATTCATATGGGACAGGAAGAAATGGCAATTCAAATCATTGCCATTTGGATTATCCTCTGCACCTTGGTGTTTCACCAAATTGCTCAAACCAGTAGTATCCCTGCTTCGAAGCAGGGGAGTGAGAATGATAATCTATCTAGACAACATTATGTCACAGAGTTTGCAAACTCTTCAACTACATTCTCAATGGACATTGAATCTGTTAACAAGCCTTGGCTTTGTAATAAATTACAAGAACTCCAGCAACAAAGACATTTTTTCAATAAAGTTTAGTGAATAAAAGAGAGAAAACGGATTAAATGAAATGGAGCACTCGTTAGCCAATCAGCATCCGGCATAGTCTATATAGTGAATGATCCCCAATATCCGTCCTGTTTCTTTGCTCCTCCAGTAGAGATAATTTTCATATATATTCACTTATGCTAGCGTTTTCTATATGAATACCTTCTGGTTTGGTTAAATATATTTTTATATATATATATATATATATATATATATATATATATTTCTTTATGTTGTATGTTTTCTGAAGTAATTTTATATATTTTTATCATAATTTATTGTTAAATATATATATTTGGTTCATACACACTGGCATTCGCGCCTTTTCATCCGAAGTGAGTTTGCGGTTTTAACTCCCTCTCAGGAGATAGAATTTTTGGGATTTCTAGTGAATTCCAATTTAGCCACTCTCAGTCTTCCATCACGGAAATTGAAAACGATTCGGAAAGAGATCAGGTCAGTTCTGAACAAGGAATTAATTTCCATCAAATCTCTGGCACGGATTGTAGGTCTTTTATCAGCCTCGATTCGAACAATTTTTCTGGCCCCCCTTCATTATCGGCTCTTCCAAGATTAGAAAGGGAACATCTCCTTTATTCAGATGAGATCTCATTGACTCCAGAGACAAGAACAGAACTATTCTGGTGGTTAGATCACGTTCAAATTTGGAACAGGAAAGCCATTTTCACTTCATTCCAAGATCTGATTATAGAATCCAACGTGAGTCGAGTAGGCTGGGGAGCCCGTTGTGGAGACAATTCCACAGGAGGCAAATGGAAGAGACGAGTATGTATATAAACTGCCTGGAACTCATGGCAGGATTGTTCGCTCTATGCAGCTTTGCGAAACAAAAATCCCATTGTTGTATTCTTCTCAGGATGGACAACATATCAGCAGTCCAATACATAAATCGCCTAGGAGGTACAAAATCCAAGTAACTGGATCAAAACAGTTTTACGAGCAGAATATCTTCCCAGCCTTTCCAATACAGTAGAAGATAGGAATTCCCATTTCCTCGTGAATTACAGCGACTGGATGTTGGATCCGTTTTAATACAACCTCTTTGCATCACGACTCAATCGCCAATTAGTTACATTTTTTAGTTTGCGTCCGGATCCAGAGGCAGCAGATCAGGATGCATTCCTTCAATGCTGGAAAGAAAGAGTCAGTTATGCATTTCCCCCATTTGCGATGATATCCCAGGTACTTCTGAAAGCATGGTCTCAGAAATCAACCTTAGTGGTAATAACCCCTCTCAGGCCATTACAACCATGGTTCCCTCAGCTTTTCAGACTACCCACAACTTATACAGATGCGTCAGAATTCTCTTTGCGATCATGAGGGAAATCTTCATCCTCTAGTACTATCAGGCCAACTACCTTTAATAGCATCTCTCATCTCGGGTCATATGAATCTTGTAGTGAATTTTCTGAGTGGCGGGTGGGGGCCCTAAAGTAAAATAATGGGGGTGGACCTATTGTCCTCCCCCCAACCCCCACCCATGAGTGGTGGGTGGGGGCCCTAAATTAGAATAAGTAGCGGAACCTATTGTCCTCCTCCCGGCCCCCACCCCTGAGTGGCGGGTGGGGGCCCTAAAGTAAGACATGCCCCTACTCGCGGTATAGCGAGTAGGGGCACATTTTACTAATACTAAGTAATTTTTACTTAGTATTAGTAAATTTGACTGAAAGACCAATTTAGGTCTTTCAGCCTTTTGGTAGATAACTCCCTTATACCGTGGGAATTAGGGAGTTATCTACTAAGCGGCTGCAAGAGAAGTCCCGAAGTGCTGAAGTCCCGAAATGCCAAAGTTCCGAAATTCCAAAGTTGACGAAGTTCCGAAGTGCCGAACCGAAGTGCCGAAGTTCAGAATTTCGGAATGCTGAACCGAACCGAAAATTTTCCCCATGCACATGCCTACCAGGTACCCGTGCAAATGACAGATCAGCCTGGAAAATTTGGCTTAATTGGTGCATGGAACGAACGGGCTGTGGATCGCGTACATTCAGATTTAGCAAACAATTTAAATTTTTTGTCAGCCTCGTTTGACTCAGACAAGGCTTTTCGCACCATTAATGTCTATCGATCAGCTATCTCAGCAAATCACAACCTTATTGAATTTTTCCCTGTGGGCAAACATCCCTTAGTCTGCAGACTTATGAAGGGTATCAGATTTAAGCGTCCTCCAAGCCCTAAATATCATTCTACTTGGGATGTTACTCTGGTTCTCCAGTTAATGGAATTGTGGGGTGACAATGATTCATTATCCTTAAAATTGATTTCGTTTAAACTTACCACATTACTATGCCTCATTTCATTTAAAGGACCACTATAGTGCCAGGAAAACATATTCGTTTTCCTGGCACTATAGTGCCCTGAGGGTGCCCCCACCCTCAGGGTCCCCCTCCCGCCCGGCTCTGGAAAGGGGAAAGGGTTAAAAACTTACCTTTTTCCAGCGCTGGGCGGGGAGCTCTCTGCTTCCTCTCCTCCTCTTCTCCTCCTCCTCCTGGACTGAATGCGCACGCGCGGCAAGAGCTGCGCGCGCATTCAGCCCGTCGCATAGGAAAGCATTTACAATGCTTTCCTATGGACGCTTGCGTGCTCTCACTGTGAAAATCACAGTGAGAAGCACGCAAGCGCCTCTAGTGGCTGTCAATGAGACAGCCACTAGAGGAAATAGGGGAAGGCTTAACCCATTCATAAACATAGCAGTTTCTCTGAAACTGCTATGTTTATGAAAAAATGGGTTAACCCTAGCTGGACCTGGCACCCAGACCACTTCATTAAGCTGAAGTGGTCTGGGTGCCTAGAGTGGTCCTTTAACAGAGTTTCTGACGTTAAGGCTTTAGACCTACTAACAGGGCCGGACTGGGGAAATGAAGCAGCCCTGGAAAAAAATCTATGCCAGCCCCATAAGTCATTGTGCTCTGTAGTGTGTGTTTTATATATATACACATATATATATATACACACACACACATATCTCTATCTATCTAGCTATCTATCTATCTGTATTTACAGTTGCAAGAAAAAGTATGTGAACCCTTTGGAATGATATGGATTTCTGCACAAATTGGTCATAAAATGTGATCTGATCATCATCTAAGTCACAGCAATAGACAATCACAGTCTGCTTAACCCCTTAATGACACATGACATGTGTGACATGTCATGATTCCCTTTTATTCCAGAAGTTTGGTCCTTAAGGGGTTAAACTAATAACACACAAAGAATGAAATGTTGCCATGTTTTTATTGAACACACCATGTAAACATTCACAGTGCAGGTGGAAAAAGTATGTGAACCCTTGGATTTAATAACTGGTTGAACCTCCTTTGGCAGCAATAACTTCAACCAAACGTTTCCTGTAGTTGCAGATCAGACGTGCACAACGGTCAGGAGTAATTCTTGACCATTCCTCTTTACAGAACTGTTTCAGTTCAGCAATATTCTTGGGATGTCTGGTGTGAATCGCTTTCTTGAGGTCATGCCACAGCATCTCAATCGGGTTGAGGTCAGGACTCTGACTGGGCCACTTCAGAAGGCATATTTTCTTCTGTTTAAGCCATTCTGTTGTTGATTTACTTCTATGCTTTGGGTCATTGTCCTGTTGCAACACCCATCTTCTGTTGAGCTTCAGCTGGTAGACAGATGGCTTTAAGTTCTCCTGCAAAATGTCTTGATAAACTTGGGAATTCATTTTTCCTTCGATGATAGCAATCCGTCCAGGCCCTGACGCAGCAAAGCAGCCCCAAAGCATGATGCCCACACCACCATACTTCACAGTTGGGATGAGGTTTGGATGTTGGTGTGCTGTGCCTTTTTTTTGTGTTGTGTGTTTCTTCCAAACAACTCAACTTTGGTTTCATCTGTCCACAGAATATTTTGCCAGTACTGCTGTGGAACATCCAGGTGCTCTTGTGCAAACTGCAAACGTGCAGCAATGTTTTGTTTGGACAGCAGTGGCTTCCTCTGTGGTATCCTCCCATGAAATCCATTCTTGTTTAGTGTTTTACGTATTGTAGATTCGCTAACAGGGATGTTAGCATTTGCCAGTGACTTTTGTAAGTCTTTAGCTGACACTCTAGGATTCTTCTTCACCTCACTGAGCAGTCTGCGCTGTGCTCTTGCAGTCATCCTTACAGGACGGCCACTCCTAGGGAGAGTAGCAGCAGTGCTGAACTTTCTCCATTTATAGACAATTTGTCTTACCGTGGACTGATGAACAGCAAGGCTTTTGGAGATACTTTTATAACTCTTTCCAGCTTTATGCAAGTCAACAATTCTTAGTCGTAGGTCTTCTGAGAGCTCTTTTGTGCGAGGCATCATTCACATCAGGCAATGCTTCTTGTGAAAAGCAAACCCAGAACTGGTGTGTGTTTTTTATAGGGCAGGGTAGCTGTAACCAACACCTCCAATCTCATCTCATTGATTGGACTCCAGTTGGCTGACATCTCACTCCAATTAGCTCTTGGAGATGTCATTAGTCTAGGGGTTCACATGCTTTTTCCACCTGCACTGTGAATGTTTACATGGTGTGTTCAATAAAAACATGGCAACATTTCATTCTTTGTGTGTTATTAGTTTAAGCAGACTGTGATTGTCTATTGTTGTGACTTAGATGATGACCAGATCACATTTTATGACCAATTTGTGCAGAAATCCATATCATTCCAAAGGGTTCACATACTTTTTCTTGCAACTGTATATTATTGGTATATTTAGTTTTCTAATTCAAAATATTAGTCCTTTCAGGGTAATTAAATTATACAGTAAAGCATACTCAAATACAGACACAGACACAGACAATCTTACTGATGCACACAAATAGGCTCATTGACAGACAATCTCAATGACACACACAGACAAGGTTACTGGTACACACACAAATTTAGTACAGACAAACTCTGATACACACACAAGCTTACTACAGACAAGCTCACTGTCACACACACACGCTCACTACAGACAAGCTCACTGCTGCGCACACACTCCTCCTACAGACAAGCCCATTGATACACATACATGCTCCCTACAGAACATTAACACACAGATTCACTACAGACAAGCTCACTGCACACCCATGCAGCCTACAGACAAGCTCACTAACACACACACACAAAATCCCTACAGACAAGCTCACTGATACACATACAAGCTCACTCACTAGCAGGCACACACACAGAAACTCACTAGCAGGCGCACACACACAGAAGCTCCCTCACTAGCCGATGCACACAGACACTCCCTTACTAGCAGATGCGTGCACACACACACACAGACGCTCACTCACTCACTAGCAGATGCACACACACAAAGACATCCACACACACAGAGGCAGACATCAACACACAAAGACAGGCAGACAGCCACACACACACAGACAGCCACACATGCACACACACACACAGGCAGACAGTCACAGACACGCACACACACAGGCAGACAGCCATACACTCACACACACACAGGCAGACAGTCACACACACACACACAGAGGCAGACAGCCATAAACTCACAGGCAATCACACACACACTGCTTCTTACCTCCACATCCCTTGGAGCGCCTGGAGACTGGTTGTTGGGGAAGCAGGGACTCCTTCCTGCTTCCCATGCTGTAGTTACCAGGGCCCCCGCCGCACCGTAAGCTCCACCCCGCTGCACAGTAAGCTCCGCTCTTGCTGCACGCTAAGCTCCGCCCTGCCGCACGCTAAGCTCCGCCCCACCGCAATATATATATTTTTTCTTTTGTTTTTTTTTATAATCCAGGCCGGCCGTGTGCGAGCTGTGTCGGCCCCCTTCTCCCATGGGGCCCTGTGCGGCCGCACAGCTCCACATGGCCGGCCGGGATTACAGGAGCCTGATCACTAATGATTACGGCTGTCAGCCCAGCCCCAGGTGTCGCGGCCCACCGGGAAATTTCCCAGTATCCCGGTGGGCCAGTCCGGCCCTGCCTAATAATAGACAATAGAAACATAGAAACATAGAATGTGACGGCAGATAAAAACCATTCAGCCCATCTAGTCTGCCCAATTTTCTAAATACTTTCATTACTCCCTGGCCTTATCTTATAGTTAGGATAGCCTTATACCTATCCCACGCATGCTTAAACTCCTTTACTGTGTTAACCTCTACCACTTCAGCTGGAAGGCTATTCCATGCATCCACTACCCTCTCAGTAAAGTAATACTTCCTGATATTATTTTTAAACCTTTGTCCCTCTAATTTAAGACTATGTCCTCTTGTTGTGGTAGTTTTTCTTCTTTTAAATATAGTCTCCTCCTTTACTGTGTTGATTCCCTTTATATATTTAAATGTTTCTATCATATCCCCCCTGTCTCGTCTTTCCTCCAAGCTATACATGTTAAGATCCTTTAACCTTTCCTGGTAAGTTTTATCCCGCAATCCATGAACCAGTTTAGTAGCCCTTCTCTGAACCCTCTCTAAGGTATCAATATCCTTCTGAAGATACGGTCTCCAGTACTGTGTACAATACTCCAAGTGAGGTCTCACCAGTGTTCTGTACAATGGCATGAGCACTTCCCTCTTTCTACTGCTAATACCTCTCCCTATACAACCAAGCATTCTGCTAGCATTTCCTGCTGCTCTATTACATTGTCTGCCTACCTTTAAGTCATCAGAAATAATCACCCCTAAATCCCTTTCCTCATATGTTGAGGTTAGGACTCTATCAAATATTCTGTACTCTGCCCTTGGGTTTTTACGCCCAAGATGCATTATCTTGCACTTATCCACATTAAATGTCAGTTGCCACAATTCTGACCATTTTTCTAGTTTACCTAAATCATTTGTCATTTGGCTTATCCCTCCTGGAACATCAACCCTGTTACATATCTTAGTATCATCAGCAAAAAGACATACCTTACCATCAAGACCTTCTGCAATATCACTAATAAAAATATTAAAGAGAATGGGTCCAAGTACAGATCCCTGAGGTACCCCACTGGTGACAAGTCCAAGCTTCAATATATTCCATTAACTACAACCCTCTGTTGCCTGTCACTCAGCCACTGCCTTACCCATTCAACAATATTGGAATCCAAACTTAAAGATTGCAGTTTATTGATAAGCCTTCTATGTGCAACAGTATCAAAAGCCTTACTGAAATCTAGGTAAGCAATGTCTACTGCACCACCCTGATCTATAATTTTAGTTACCCAATCAAAAAAATCAATAAGATTAGTTTGGCATGATCTCCCTGAAGTAAACCCATGTTGTCTCTGATCTTGAAATCCATGTGTTTTTAGATGTTCAACAATCCTATCCTTTAACATGGTTTCCATCACTTTCCCTACTACTGAAGTAAGGCTTACTGGCCTATAGTTGCCCGACTCCTCCCTATTACCTTTCTTGTAAATGGGCACAACATTCGCTAACTTCCAATCTTCTGGGACTACTCCTGTTAACAATGATTGGTTAAATAAATCTGTTAATGGTTTTGCTAGTTGTCACGGTTCACGCCGTGACATCCAGTCTGCCAGACGTGGTCGTTCCGGAAGCGCCCGATAGGGGATTTGAACTGCGGTTGTTTTACACCGTATCCTGCTATCTTCCCTCTGAGCCATTTCAGGACTTTGGATAACTCCTGTTTATTCTTGTATTGCCTGCAGCACTAGGGGGTCTGGATTTCACCAAAGGCTCTGATCTGTCAGTTACTCTCCAGCTGAATCTGATCCTAATTAACAGGATATAAAAGCCTGCCTCACCCTGGGAGGGGTGTCAGTTCATTGACTCTGGTTCTCTTGTTTGGTTCCTGTTACTCCGTACCTGCGTTCCAGTGATTCTTGTCTTTCCGGCTTCTGACCTTGGCTTTCCTCCTGGACTACTCTGACCTCTGGCTTCCCTGATTTTGGCTTCCCTTGACCACGCTTCTGCTTATCCCTGCTGTACTGAGTCTTGGAGCACCTTTCCTGGAAAGCCCCCGTGCACAGACTCACAGGCCAGGTGGCGTCTTACCTGGTCACCCTGGTCTGTGTCTACTTTGCAAGGGTGAGCGTATAACTCTGCGAGCTGGACTCCCTATCAGGTAAGACTCCGTTACAGATGAACTGACCAATGGAGTCTGCAGAGTTATACAAGTTACTCACCTCCCTGGCCGAGCAAGTCTCCAACCTGTCCCAGAATGTTACAGAATTGCAGAGACATTCATTGGCATTGAAAGGAGCAACGCTTGCAGTCCCGGAACATGTATGCCCAGAACCGTATGTCTTTATGCCTGACAGGTTCGACGGTTCCCGTTCTGCATTTCCGATGTTCAAGACAGATTGTGAGCTACTATTTGCCCTGAAATCGAGAACCTACGCCACCGACTTTATCAAAGTACGCTCCGCTATTAACCTATGTACCGGGCGAATTAAGGCGTGGGCACACCAGAAGTTGCAGGAGAGAAGTACTGTCTTGGACTCCTGGGAGTTGTTTATGTCCACAATGGATTCTCAGTGTTTTGCAGCGAGAAAAGCAACTTCCAAGCCTACTTCAGGTTCTCGCAGAACCCGGTTGCCGAGAGAAGAGGAATTGTTTTATGGATACAAAAATCCCATCATGTTGCAGCATGAACCCACTTTCAGGGACCCGCCTTGTAACCCTGTTTACACTCGCGCTAGCAGTGAAACTCCAGTCGACATGGAGGAACCCATGGAGATTGGCTTCACCAGAACTAGATTGCCCCCAAAGGAAAAAGATCGCAGGAGAGCCCATGGTCTATGTCTATACTGTGGGAAAAGAGGGCATTTCATATCGCTCTGCCCGACTCGTCCACCTAGGCCAAGACCCCTTCTGTCTGGTGCCATATGGACTTACCCTGTCATCCCAGCAAGACAGCCTGGACACTGCCAGAACTGTCCCCGTCCTGTGACACAAAAGGGTACCCAAACCAATACCGTTAATGTTACCAGTACCTCTGTGGAAACTTCACCTCTTGCTCTAGAAAAATTTGGACCTCTTCCTGATGACACTTCTGTTCAAGCAAGCACCATCACCACTTCCTGCCATGCCAAAACAGTTCTGCCACCTGACTGCACCTATGCCTCAAATGGCACAGTTGTGTGCAAACAGGATCTAGAAGTCTTTGAAAAAGCGTTGAAAGCTGCAAATGCCTCCCCTATAGCACCCGAAACTGGTACCATAAAATCCCAGGTCGTAAAAGGATACCTTAATTATAAAGACTATCTTAGTGATACTGAGACCGAAGATGAGGAGTACCATTTCCAAGAAGAGCCTGTTCACGCCCGGAGGGCGTTCTTGACGGGGGGGTACTGTCACGGTTCACGCCGTGACATCCAGTCTGCCAGACGTGGTCGTTCCGGAAGCGCCCGATAGGGGATTTGAACTGCGGTTGTTCTACACCGTATCCTGCTATCTTCCCTCTGAGCCATTTCAGGACTTTGGATAACTCCTGTTTATTCTTGTATTGCCTGCAGCACTAGGGGTCTGGATTTCACCAAAGGCTCTGATCTGTCAGTTACTCTCCAGCTGAATCTGATCCTAATTAACAGGATATAAAAGCCTGCCTCACCCTGGGAGGGGTGTCAGTTCATTGACTCTGGTTCTCTTGTTTGGTTC